AGAAGAGAAGTAAACGATAAAGAAGATGTCATTTCTTAATTAGTAAGTTGATATATTCACCCGTTCTACCATCTACCTTTACAATTTCTTAGATCAGATCTAAGAAGATGCACGGGCAGATGCTATAACAAGTGAATATAATCACTTCGATGTTATTGATTCTCCTTTTTGAATAATATCTTCTCCGTTTTGAGTTTAGTAAGAAACAAATATTCAATATTTCCAAAATAATTCCAAACGACTCAAAATTAAAACAACATGTACTCAGAATTTTTTAGATAAAATTGCTCCAATTTTTACTCGACTTTTATAGATAAAATTGCTCCATCAGATATAAAGGATGTTTAGACTTGAACTGTAATTTGTTGGTCTGATCTGAGATTGATTACAACAAGTAAAACATCCTAATGTGTGCATGCACCCATTCGGATACATGTTTTCCATTTTTAAAACAATAATAATAATAATAATACTCCCTCTGTCCCATAAAATTCTTCTCACTTTCCTTTTTGGATCGTCCCAAAAAATTCTTCACATTTTCCTTCTTTGGACAACTTGTATGGTTCACATTCATTTCACTTTTTTCTTATACAACCACAAGTATACATTTCCACTTTATTTCACTTTCTTAATCTCCGTGCCAAATCAAAGTGGGAAGAATTTTCTGTGACGGAAGGAATAATAATTACTCGTACAAATGAAATTTTATCAACATTGAAATGATGAATTTCTGAAATGATAGTGGTGATTAAAATTACGGAGTATATGACTATATGTCTATATGAGTATCAAAATCAACCATCGTTGATGTCAGTATGCGTAGTATGACGTAAACCCTATATTACGTGACTCAAATGTCCAAAATTGGAAGTCATAACCAAGCCTGACGCAAATCTGATCCACACGAATACTCAACCCCAAAGAGTCCATTAGGTAGCTGAGTGAGTTCATCCTCATCCACGAAACTTAGCCTAGTTATGGGCTATGTTGTACGGATACTTCACTCCGATATCGTATCTGATACGTATCTGTATCTGATACTCACCGATACGCGTCATGTACGTATTGGGTCTGTATCCGTAATTTAATAAAAGTATCGGACTTAATTTTAAAAATACCGATACTTACGATACCCGTATCCGTGAACCGATACGCGTATCTGACCCTGTAACCCTCATTTCATACACAACATGACGAAAATTTAGTAGTCATCCAAGCGACCACAAGATGTGGAACATTGATAAAGATGATTTCGGGAGTATGAAAAATAACGGAATACTATAATTTTTTATTTTATCGCTTGATGAGCTTTAATTGAAACAAGATTTAGATGTAAATGCATGTAAATAGAGAACAAAAAAATGTTGTTTGAATTTAAATCAAAATATCAGTACTTTAGTTTCTTTAGCCTAATCTTTGAAATTTTATTATAATACAGAGTAGTTATTTTTTTGTACCATTACTATTATTATTTTATTTATGAACTCCTGAATTATATATATTTGCAAATTATACCCTATATTTTTATTATTTATAAATTTACCCCCGTACTCATATCCTATAATTTTTTAAATTGTCGTATCGTCGTACCCGTATTCACGTATCGACGTATCAGACTATCAGTGTATCCGTATCCGTGCAAAATAGGTTATGGGTTGAGTGTTTCCAAATCGCACCAAGTCTCCATTACGGGCCTCAAGCGTGGGGGGTTATTGAGCCCATTTAGTGACATGATATTATTAGAATTAGAATATAAATAGAGATACGGAATATATAAAAAGATAAATTTGTTTACAAAATTAGTCTACGTAGTATACATTTTGTTGATCAAAACTAGCAATTTTGAATTATGTTACATACATTTTGCTTGTTAAAATTTATAAAATTATGATCGAAGTGACTGCATAGGTAATTTTATTGATTTTTAAAATTAATTATATTTAAAATTTATTTTATTAAAAAAATAAAAAAATTATATAAAAACATATAAAAACATATTACATTCCTGAGGATGTAATATCGAGGGGAATGTTAAACTCATTCATGCCTTAGATTATCTGACATTCTCGAGGATGACCTAATATTTTTCCGAAAATACTCTCAATTAATTACTACCTCCGTCCCAAATTGTTTTGTAAAGTCGTCTTTTTTTGTCAACCAATGTTACGGTAAAATCGTCACTATTGATAACTAATTCTATTTTACCCCACTAATTTTGGTTGTATGCTTACCGGGTTTTAAAAAAAACTAATTCTATTTTAATAATTAAAGTTTACATATTAGAAACTACATCAAAATCTCTATAAAGTTACAAAATTAAAATTATAATTTAATTAAGAATTGATATCCTAATTAAGCGAATAAAATGACTCTGTTTGACTCAAAAAGTTAATTTTGTAACTCAATTTAGGACAAAGAGAGTATCTCTTTTCATTTAATTTATTTTCAACTCTTCCATCTTCAATTTGGGGTTAAATTTTTTCACAATATTTTCTCTTCATCTTATGACAATAGACTTTTAGTACTACATCTGTCTCACTTAAAACTTCACGTCCATTATTCTCCAGTTAACATAAATGTTCTTAATATTTTACTTTATATATCCAACTTTTATCAAATATGATTTTATAGCGTCCGCAATAGGCAATTAAATATTTTTTAAATTGTAATTTTTAAGGATACTACCTCCGTCCAGTTGAAAGGTTCCCATGATAAAACGACACAATTATTTAAACATAATTAAATAAGGTAGTTGAAGTACATTTTAAGAAATAATTTTAATAGGTATATAACATAGTGGGATCAATGTTAATAATTGTAATTTTATAAATGCATTATTTTTAATATATAATGATTAATTTGTCATTTAACATTGTTAATTGTTACAAAAATAGAAATGAGAACATTTATATGAGACGTCCAAAAAAGGAAAGTGAGAACCTTTATATGGGACAGAGGGAGTAATAAATATGTTTAGAGCCCGTTTAGTAACGAAAATCGGCTGATTCAGCTAATTTTGCTGAATTTTATGAAGTTCTGACTGAAGTGGCTGCATTGGCTGATCCAAGAAGAAAAAATTAAATATATTTTATTTATAAATAATGAAAAAAATTATATGTAAAAATAGCTAAAATGGTCACCTACAGTAACTTAAGCCAATACAGTCAAAAAAGTAACTTCAACCTTACTCTTTCCTATTATTACACAATTCAGCGCGCGAAAACAAATGTTACGTGTTTGGTGAAAAAGTTAGCTTATAAGCCTGATAAACGGAAAAATAGTGTTTTTTTTTTGATAATTCTTTCTAACTTATATAGTATCTGCTTAATGTTAATGCCAACATCCTTGAACTGGGATGAGATTCGAACCTGTGACCTCCTCATTGGGAGTGTCACATTGATATCATCAGACCACAAGGTACTTGGCGGAAAAACAGTGTTACCAAACGGCCTCTTAGATTACTATTTGAACAAAAGTTTTTCTCATTTCTATATTGGACCTACAACATCTTTTTACAATTAAACATACTTCACTTCAAAATAATTCATTTAGTTTAGATTTTATTTATTATTAGGATATTTCTTTTTTTTATTTAATTAAAACTACTTAAGAATTAGGTTGTAATAGATTTAGGGAGGTTTTGCCATTGTTTCTACTTTAAAAAAGTGATTTTTAAAGTGATTTTGGAAAAAGTGCTTGATAGTAAAAGTTCATGGTGTTTGAGAAAATTGTGCATCATAAATAGTAAAAGTTGACAGTGTTTAATAAAATAAGTGATTTTTGTATAATAGAAAAAGTGAAAAACAGTTTTAAGCACACATCAACCTGCTTCCAACTTTTAACTTTTAATTGCTTAATTTAAGCAGAATCTTTAACTTGAAAACACCAATTTCAACTTTTTTAATCCCAAAAGCTGAAAAACTTTTTTTTTTTGCAAATCCTCCCTTATTATGCTAAGAGAAAATATTTACAGGGCATTCAAGTAATTCATCAAATCTGCAATATAAGATATCTTTCAACCAAATAATTAATGTCACATTTGCTTAATCTTAACCAATCACAAATGGAAATAAATTGAATACATTCTTATCAATCTAACCTAGCCAGCAATATAACATTCTTATAGTAATCTGTCATTTCTTGAACCAAATAAGCTCTTAATGTTATCTCAAATTTGTTCTCGCATTTCTTATTAATGATATTTTCAACTTGTGTCAATTTTTTTGATCTGATCTATGAAAGAAAAATTTATTTTTTACTTTAGCGTATACACTAATATACATATTGACATAGATCTTGATATATTTTTGTCGAAAGTTTCAAATATCTGACAGATTTATTAATTTCATATATGACAGATGATATATACTCCCTCCGTCCCAAAAACAACTTCTCAGTCACTATTCATTGGTCAACTTGAATCACTCGTAATCTTTTACTTTTTATATCAAATTTTTATCAAATTTAAATTTTATTGATCAGGCTTTGTAGCGGTTTTAATGTAGTTTCTGAATATGTAAATTTTATTTACTAAAAATAATCCGAGTGTGAGCAGCGAATTGCTTTATCGTCAGTCAAGCATCGTAAATCGAACGGGAAGTTAATTTTGGGACGTATATATGATAATACGTATATCATAATACCATTATACGTATATCATAATACCATTATACGTATATCATAATACTACGTATATCATAAGATCCGGACAAATAAGCTATGCTATATATATATACTAGTTTTCGCAACGCGCGATGCGCGATGGAGATTGTGCCCAATGTGTTTTTATAATAGTGGTAATGGCGAATGTGTAAGAAGGGGTGCTTGGGATATATGCTAGGGGAAAATGATCATGTTTGTGTGGTAGTGTGTGTACAACATGTATTCCCTTTTGAAATAACATTGAAATAGAACTCCCAAATAGAGTAATGAAAATTTCATGATTGCATTATTAGTGTGCAATTTATTAAAATGAGAAGAAATAGCGATAATATTGTATCATGGAAACAAGCTTAGTAGTGTATCATGGGAAAATATGTTTATGGTTGCAGGAGAGATAACATTCAAAAATCAAAATGGAACATAGTACTGCAAAAATGAAAGTATTTGAATGTAATAACACAATTTGGTGAGTCATGGAATGGTTTGGATGGTTGTGTATTTTCCGTCACACTGTTTTGATGCGTTTCATTGGAGGACTTGAAGTGCTTGTGCTTTCACTGGGTGCAGTGTGATCGGCAACATTTGCTTCATTCATCTTTATTGTGTGCAACGAAGACTCGTGCAAAGATGTTATGATATAAGATGTCTTTGAAGTACGAGGATAGTTGTTTTTTGAACTCCAATTGTCTGGTGAAGACCTCAACTGGACTATGTACTCTTCCTTAGCAAGACGCTTGTTTATGTATGGGAATGAAGCTTTTTTCCCCTACCAAGTACAAAAGAATTTCAATGAGTGGTTTCATATAGAATTTAAACCTAGTAGAAAATTAGACTTTGACAAATGACAATGTGTATATTATTCATATTTCTACAGGACCCAAATTCCATAAGAGATTATGCTTCATTTGATGATTTTGTAAAAAAATCTATGGCATAGTGTTGGCGAATAATCTTTTGGGTGACATTTTTAATTAATTTTACAATGTAGTTAATGTTTTTGGCAATAGGAAACAAATGCAAAAAACAAATTCAAAAAACAAGTATATTTGGTTTCATTAAACGATAATTTAATTGGGCGGTATTGTGGATGATGTTACCTGTGATTCTATTTCCATGACTTGCTTGCTTGTCATAAGCAATAACTTTTCAGCGCACAAGCCAAACATTATTCCACTGACAGATCCTGTCTCATCTTCGATTGTGACATGTAATTTGGCCCTGCGCGAAGGTTGTAGTATGATTTTTTGAGGAAAATGACATATACTTATGTTGTTTGGTGTAATACAAGTGGCGTACTTGCCTTGGAACGCCATAAGCATTTTCTTGACCGCAACTCATGCAGTGAAATATTGCATCACAACCAGCGTATTTTATTTTGGCACAATGGCTACAAGCAACATACCAGAGGCTATAGTTTTCTAAAACCAAAGTGATTGTGCCTTTGATCCAAATAGGCCTTCCCTGTCATTGTTTATGGATTACACAAATTACAATGGATAAGTCACAGTAATGTAATGGATTTGAAGTAATTTATAGCATGGGTTACATAAACTTTTGGGTGATTTATTGCATACATCGTCAATGTTTTTTACGTTGTCAATGGTTATTAGGGAAAACATGTCATATAGGCATTGGGAGGAATGAAGTATATAATAACAACATACTTGAGGAATGATAGCAGGGACTTTAGCTACTGGGGTGATTGTTTCATTGTCAGGATTTGCTAGGTGGAAGCCAGCATCCAAGAACTTGCGGCCAGCCTTCACAGCATCGAGGGTGGACTTGTGGTCAATAGCCCTACACGTAGGTTGATCGTAATCAGTCATCAGTCACATGTTATAAGCATATATGTAGATACAACATATTCCCGTAACGTTAAAAGGGGAAAGAATGGTGTGCATATTCACGCTCAACAATTTAAGGTATTGGAAGAAGGGAGTTAATTGTTTCCTATTCAACTCTTTACCATAGATGCTTCGTACTTTAGGATTTAGCCGATTATATGGCATTCCATATATTTCATTTTCATCTATTACAAAGGTCTCTGTTTTATCTCGCGGTTGGGCTCTAAATCTGCAAGTTGTTTATATTTTGCAACCCTTTCTACTCTTTCATCTATCCGCTACTTTTCCGTTTGTTGTATATTTTGTTCTTCTCACTTTTCTATGTAATCCTTTCTACTCTTTCATTGATGAAACTTTTTTTTTTAAAACAACAGGTGGTCTTTACATAAAAAAAATCAACATTCATTTTAGCAGTTATAGTTTCGGCATCATTTTGCATAAGTTTGATCCTTTTTAACTCTTAATATATTCCAGGAGGAACCATATCACTTTCTGAACTGTCTAGCTGTAAATCACCCAATTAAATGAATATAATGGGTTTTTTGCTTCCAAAAAAAAAAATCAATCTACACTATTAATGAAATTTTGGTGATAATTCAAGAGCAAATTTTGAGAAACTCAGATTTTATTAACTTCAGAGTTTTAACATTTTCACATGAAAGTAACATTATTTACACAAGATTACTGTTAAAGTATGATAAGGTTGCACAAGAAAATGCCCAACGCGCGTTCATACTTATTATCCAAGTGTAATTTGTTTTTTTTTTTTACAAAAAGTTAAAACGACGTAAAAATGAGGCATTATAATTAAAAGGATGCATGCCACATGTAGGCTAAAAATAGGCTACAAAATATACAATGAGGTTGACACATGAACATATCGCATTGTTAGATGCTAAGTCAAGAGAGAATGTAATTCCGTATGAGAATAAGCTATGGTATAGTTACTCACTTTAACCACTCAATTTAATAAATAAAATTACACTACAAAAAATCAATCTCAATTTTCTAATGACCTGCCTTCCTCTTTGTCTCCATGTCAATTTTGCTTCTAGTCACTACAATAAATTATAAGGCCTCTATTATGCTTAGTTACACACCTGTTAATACTTGAAACATGGAATATAGCGCCTTTTAAAAAGACAAATGACTTAATATTTAAGACCTTTAAAGGTAATTGAAGTATTACCGAATTTGGTAAAGTTTATATTACTCTAAATCATTCTTACTCTATTTTTATCAATTCAATATCAACTATTTTGAATATTATTATTAAACACGTACACATACAGCAACTCACAAGAGACGTACACATGTGCAAAGTTCCTTTTAAATTTGCAGATATAAATACTATACGTGTAAATCATTTACGTATGTTTTATCTAGGCCTTATTTTTAGCTAAACTTTAGCTAGTTGTTGGGCAGTATGTAATTGTATATATGGTGGTATTCCACTCATCAATAAACAACGATTTATGAATTACGATCCAAATAATTTCCTTACTCTAAATTTGAGAACTACATTAACAACATTTTAATGATTTGTGTGTCACTGCCTCTTATCTCATTGTTAGTGGGATGATGGAATATTACTTTAACTTTGAATTCTTATTTTCATGAAATCTCAAAAAACATATTGAGATACATATTAAGCACTTAATGAATTCTTTGAATATTAAGCACTTATTAGGAAAGTGGTCTGTTTAATAAAAACAAAATACAATAGTTACAATTTGAAAAGGAATAAAAGTAGACTAACTGGAATAAAATAAAACAGTAAAACACAGGAAAGAAAAGAACACGATGGAAATCAAGCTGCAGTTCATTAGTTGCAATTATTTAGAAGATCGATAGATAGAAAACAGAATGGAATAATAGGGAAAAAAAAATACGTAGTAAACAAGAATAGTGCAGCCATTTAAGAAAATAAGGTAGACATTACCATTTTTCCAATTCTGCAGCACGAGGCAAATCGGAATTCAGAGTGATTGTTGAATGAGACATTGAAGTCAAAGATATCCCTATGTATTAAGAGCAAAATTAGTACTTGGTGCGAATATGTAATATACGTTATAGGGTTGTAATAGTACCTTTGAAGTCGGTAGCCTTAATGTCTTCTAGGCTCACTATAGGATACTTTTTTTGAGTTAGTTCCTCAAAGATTTCAACTCCCTTTGTTAGCGCCAACTCATCCCAAAGTGTGAATTGCACTGGTTTCAGTCTGTTGGAATTGTGATGGATTTGTATGAGTGATGTTGCAAATAACTTCAACAATATAATAAGATTAATCATAGGTCCTACTTACAGTTCATCAACCACAATGAAATCCTTGATAGACCGGACACCATTTGAAGTCGACTGGGTTTCTCTTGGAAGTTTATCAATTACAACAACAACCATTGCTACAATATTAACAATGGTATGAATAGACTTCAGTATACAATATTTTAATAATACGTAAAGCAAGGAATTTTAACCGTGTATGTTGTAATATATATTTCAGCTTGTTTAACGTGGGTGCGTGAAATTTGTGTATACAGGCAATGTTGCTTACATATGTCCCGCCCAGTCTTCATGTGCTGATATAGGTCACTGAATCTGGAGACCCTTTTAGTCTCAAAAACTTCAGCTTCATTTGCATTTTCACATGGTTGAATAGCTGTTCTACGATTGAGAACCCATGTGAACCCATACCTCATATCTGGCACTTTGTAGGAGTTCTGTGGTACGCGAACATGAGCGTTCGAGATGTGATAAGACGAATTGAGCTTCATAGTCATATCATACATCTCTACGTCATGGTCAAATACCATGGTTGAGATGCGTATGCCCTGTAAACATTTTAAGCATTAAAAATCGCAAAAACATAACATGGACATTTCATAATGGCCTTTTTTAACAATTGATATGAAAAACACTACTTTAAAAGCACATGCAGAAACAATGGTAGTGATTATTTAGTGATCAACCATAAATTCATGGACATTTCATATGATCTTTCTTTAACATTTGATATTCAAGCAAATACTTTAAAATCACAGGGAAAATATTGGTAATGGTTTAGGGCAGATGGTTGCGGCAAGACTCTGATCTCTTGTCTAAAACATATTGTGCTCGGTTCAAACATTGTGTGTATAACAAAATATTCACCTTTTCAAAGCTATATTATGTTAGCTAAATTTCATCACATTCTGTCGTCTAATTTTTTGATTTCCAACTCCTGTGCAATTTACTTCTGCTGTCTAATTTTTTTATTACGAGAACTAATAGTGGAACCTTAAATAGAAGCGAGCTTAACATACTAATTCGTAATCTTAAGTCAGGATCTTAGCAATAAATGAATGGATGTATGGATGTCAATTTGGCATTGTACAGATGGAGCTGTTGTTGCTACTGTGATGTGGCTTATGATAACACACTCATCATAGTCACGTCGTTTTTCGATCGCGTCTTCCCACGTTAGAGGTATATATTTTCCGTTATCTCATTGGAATTTAGGGATCTGTTTAGAACTGGGAAAGCTAGGAGGAGAAAATAGTGAATTATAATCTATCTCAGAAGTTTTTACAATATTCGGATACATTTTTTTTGGGGTTCCTCAGAACATTAAAGTAGCATCTAATTTGTAAGTTTTTATTATTAGTATTGATTTAAATAAGGATGGAAGAAGTATAGAATATCTGTAAAATTTATTTGTTGGAAATTTGTAATTTCGTCAACTCAATTTATAACATGGTATTTCAAGGATGTCATCAATTGATACTATGTTTGGATTTTGTAAATATTTAATTTGTTTTATTGATTAGGAGAAAAAAGGTTAGGAGATAAATGAGTCTAAAGTTTTGTTTTGAAATTGCAACTCTAAATAAGGAGAAGGAGAAGGAATTCTTGGAAAAACATGTTAATTAGGGTGCTAATAATAGTTTGAGAAGCTCAAGCAAAACCTGGTGGTAGAACAGGCATGTAAATAATGCATGAGATGTCGTAAAGGTATTATGGAAAATAACACTGTTTGGCCTCACTAAGCCTATTGTCCCTAACAAAATTCCTCCACTTTGCCTACTTTCCAGCCATACTTAATTTTATAATTATGGTGTGATATGTGTCTAAAGTGGAGGTAGAACGAATTAACACTCATTAAAGAATTGGGGAGTAGTTTTTTGGCTGAAGTAAACTTCCTAATTCTCTATGTTCTAGACCTCGTAATTCTCTATGTTGAACTCCCGTATAAAATTTGTTCAGCTTGTTGTTCAAATTGATCATATGTGTAATGAAGTATGAAATGTACGAATTATATATTTAAAATCATGCAGTGATTCTCTCTTTTTATGGATTCTTTAAGAAACACGTAAGAATAGATATTCCAATCTGAGTGTTTGTTTATTTTTTGGAAAATTAAAAACTCTGTATTAAATTTGATAAGTATGTTTGTAACTATCTCAATAAGTAATCATATTTCGTAAAAACTAAATGCGTAGTAATTTTTCATGAAAATTTTGTATAGTACGTGGTAGTGCAGCGAGGAAGAAGCATTTACATTTGGTATATTTACAATCATAAGCAATTAAGCACTTTATAAGATATGACTTACTTCCTTATCCTCAAGGAACATATGTAGGTGTCTCTTCCCAGTTGTTGTGTTATGCTTAGGTGCAGACTTATGAGCGACGCGAACCTCACATGTCCACATGGGTGTTTCAGGCGTCACATCAACTAATCGGTGCATTGTTGCCATTGAACAGGTCCTGTAAATAGAATACGTATTTGGTTAACGTAAAGATATGTGTGTGTATATATGTATAGATATAAATGAATATGGGGAAAGTGTGATTGTAATTTGTATGGTTCACCTTTGTTCACCGTACAGTGGCTAGCGCTATTTAATATTTCTTGATACACTATATTGTGTGTCCAATTTGGTTCGCATGGGCGATCTTTGTTGCATATTAGTATTTTTAAACATTCTGCTCGTTGCGCTCTTGACATTGCAACATACAGTTGCCCATGCGAGAAAACCGGTTCCCTTAGGTATACGCCGACGTAGTCAAATGTTTGCCCTTGAGACTTATTTATCGTCATGGCAAAGCATAGTTTGATAGGAAATTGATGACGCTTAAATGGTATGGGACAGTTGTCATCGCTTGATGGTTGGAGAGGTATTTTTGGCAGGAACACATGTTTTCCCACATGCTCACCGGATGCTATGGAACAACTAATGACATGGTCACGAAATTCGTGGCATATCAAACGCGTGCCGTTGCATAGGCCCTCTGCCGGGTTTAGATTCCTAAGCAAAATCACCGGACAGTTTTTCTTCAGTACCAATTTATGGGGGGGTAAACCGGGTAGGCAAATGGTGTTTAGGAAATCACCGTATTCGTTGTATGTGCTCGAATCGAGCAGCTCATCGTAGCTAACGTAGCACCGCTCTTCCCCGGGCAATCGATGGATTAATATGTCATTCAAGTTCTCGACATACTCATTTTTTGGGGTAAGAATACCCCGGCGCATCAGTGGGTACGGGTCGTCACAAAACTTTGACATATCAGGATACACATGGTGTATTAGTGCATTCAAGGACTCGTCATCGCCAGTGTAAGGAATGAGAAAATGATGTGGAATAGCAATTGTTGAGTCGGAAACATATGTTTCAATTCCATTGCCTACCCTCATTAAGTACTCACTGAAGCCCGGATCAGATATCGCTCTCATGTTTTCGGTTAAGACTAACCTTTCAGTGAAGGGCCATATGACATGAGAATTGACCAAGCTCGCTTCAATGAAATCTCTCTTTCTGCCGGATCTAATAACAGGCAATGTTTGCCGGAAATCCCCGCCAAAAACCACGACCTTGTCCCCAAAGAGTTTTTCACAATTTGTGATATCCCGCAAAGTCGTCTCGACATTCTCTACAGTTCTCCGATTTGCCATCGTAGCCTCATCCCATAAAATTAGTTTGCAATCACGTATTAACGATGCTTCTGCACTTTGCTTTCCTATGTTGCAAACAAATTTATCGTCCACATTAATTGGGATTTTGAATCGTGAATGTGCTGTTCGGCCGCCCGGCAATAGAGATGCAGCAACGCCTGAAGTTGCTGTTGCAAGGGCAATATCACGATTCGACCGGACCTTTGCTAAAAGGCACCTATACAGGAAAGTCTTGCCGGTGCCCCCCGGGCCATCGACAAAGAATGTCCCGCCTTTGTCAGAGTAAACACGCTTGATTATAGTGTCGAATGCGGACCTCTGGCCGGTGTTCATTTTTGCAATCGCGGCAATATCAGAATCGGTTGGTAACAGACTTCTCTCTGCCTGGATTTCTTTTTGAACTCGTTGCTCTTTTGTAATGCCAACATGGTATGAAACAATTGCTAGGTCATTGATATTTTTCCCTAGGCACAAGAGAAGGTCATTCAAATACAGTAGGCATTTGTGTTCCGCCTGAGATATATCTGGACAAGTTCTGATCAGGTCTTCGCAAAGGTGTGCCTTGAACTGCAGCCAGAGCGATTTTGGGTTAGCGACATCACAAAAAGCCAAGACTGTCGCAAACAGCCTGCGAAAAGTGGATGGCATTTGCCAACACGTGGCCTCTTCGAGACAGTGTTCGATGTCTTGGTTACATTGTAGCAACCCAAGTTTCTCGGCGGCTTCTCTAAACGTGGCAGCAGTGTATTGCCCAATTGTTTTTATATGCTCATATGACTGCGGTGATTTCACATTCATCAACAAAATTCTCAAGTAGTACCTCTCCCCTTCGGTTGGATTCACACTCACAAGCCGTCCTATAACCTCCCGTTTTTGTCTTGGGTGCCACTTTCTATCTTTGGTTGACCACACGTAATACTCGGGAAAGTGGATGTATAGGAGGTTCAACCTGGCGGCTGTTTCATCGATGCGATTCATGGAAAAGAATTGAGTCAGCATGGTTTGAGAGTTCTGCTCAGATTCTACAATTTCTGTTATGTCTTGCCGTTTGTCAAATCTCATGTACTGATTATTTTCTAAGTGTACCGGCAAGTGTATAACAGACGGTTTAATTTCCGAGAGAGGAAAGCTGTAGATTCTCCATGCTGCCTCGGGGGGTGATACCCAACGTGCCTTTTGATACTCCTCGATTTCATCAACCACTTTGGCGTCATTTTCGGCGGAGAGGTTAATAGCAATTCTATCATGGCCTTTGTATATATATTTATATATATATTTCACACTCTTTATCCCCGCACAAACTTCCACGTTAATATGACAATCAAATTTAGCTAATAGATATGGGTTGTAGGGTACAACCCACCTATTGTCTAATTTGTGTTTACGTGCATTGACAACTATGGAGTTCATACGGCGCCTGTAGATAGGGTATGCGTTATCTCCCATTTTTGTAGAATCAGAATATTCTCTTGGGTATTTACTTTTGCACTGTAGTGCTCCCTCTTTGGTTGCCATGCATGGATTTTCGGGGTTCATTTCTCCACAAGGGCCATGCATCATATGTTTGGCGACCAAAGAGTGTAAGTAACTGTTACGTTGTGGATCAGGAATTTCAGCACTAATGATTGCATCAATTTCATCACCCGTCCTCCGTTTATATTGCTTTCGCAATATAACCAAAAAGTGGGCATGGGGAAGGCCGCGTTTTTGAAACTCAATCACGTAAGTGTATGCATCAAC